CTTAAATACAGAGAGTTTTATTTCTATCATATACAGGTACGCATACCACCTATATATTCAAAGAATGGTTTAACTCGATTCGTATTTTTTCGAGCTTTAATTAGTTTTTTAATTTGCAATCAAACAATAAACTGTGTTTGGTTTTAAGTATTATAAGTAAGTTAATAATTTATTTAACTATTTTATAATAGTATTGTATTCAAATAAGTATTATAATTAGCTTATAATTTATATAATTTGTTTATAAGATTATTATATTCAATTAAGTTTGGTAACTTACTTAATTAATTAGTTTATAAGGTTCTTGTAGTCAAATAAGTTTATTCTAATATGACGAGATTTTTGTTAAGTTTGGAGTATCAAATTAATTATTTAGATAGCTTTTCTTATACAAAAAAATTAACTAAAATCTGTATTCAAGTTTACTAATCAACTAATTTTATTTCTAAATGTTTTATTATATCAACTCATTTTTCAACTAGCAGCCATAAAAACTAATTTTATCTAATATTTTCATGATGTCAACTAATTTTTCAACATAATCTATTTCTGATCCCAGACTCCCAGTATACCATTAGATTTCATTGTCCAACAAATAACACAGCCTTCCAACCTGCAAAAAGGGGCCGATTTGTAGAGATATAACACTAACTACATTCAGAAAAAACTGTAACATCTCCAAGACCATAAAACATATCNTCAAATACGAGAAGTTTCTTCTTTTCATAACCTTGACTCAACTGAAATAACTGTACCCGACAATCAGAAGCAGAATGGCTGCCACAGCAGCAGCGGGGCCCACCCAGACCCAGTAGTTTGTGGCCTTCTTGCGTTTAAGTATGGCTTTCGGGAGAGAATCGGGTCCTCTGGGGCGTGGCCCTCTGTTCCTGACGGTATTTTCTTTTCGGTCCTTCTTCTTTTGTGGTGTTTCGATTTTCTCCTCTATCTTTTCAGGTTCGCCAATTTCTTCAGTGGCTTCAGCTGCTGGTTCGTCTGACTCGGGAGCAATAGCCGAGCCTCCTGCCTTCTTTCTTGCCCTTTTCTCACGCTCCTGCATGAATCGACACACAAGAATTTTGATACAAATTCATAGATAAGATAATGGTCAAAATGGGTTAATTTCAAAAAAATTCTCAAAGGCATAAAGCTTTTCGTAATGGATAATTGCAAAAAAAACTACACAAGTTTTCAGGTATTGGGAAAAAAAAGAAAAGAAACTTTTACTGGATGGACTTGGGCTGACTTGGACAAATATTCTACAACTACACCCCCCGACTTCTCTAAATATTACAAACCTCCCCAACCGCGGGCAATTTTAAAGACGCATGTAAGCTAATGAAAAAAAATTCAACGTCTTTTTTCCTTCTGTAACTAGCCAAACCTCACGATTTTCATTTTTTACTTTCAATTATTCCTTTTTCTCATAATAATCCATCGAAAATAATCAAATATCACTACCAATAATAATGATAATAAATTAATAATGAATAATACTTGCCTTGATCTTCTTCTCGGCTTCCTTTTGTGCCTTGGCCGCAGCTTTAGCAGCCACTTTCTCCGCCTGCTTTCTCTTCCTCTCTTCCGCTTGGTTGCGCTTGGCAATCTCCTCCTCTCTCCTCTGCTCCTTGAGTTTCTTCTCATCAACTTCTTCCTTCTTCGGGCCCAACCCCAAGCCCAAGCCCAATTCCTTGGGCTTGTCCCCCACGAAGTACCCATACTCCTCCTCCTCGTCAGCAGCATCTTCCAAGCCCACCTCCTTTTTTTTCTTGCTGTTTCCATCTTTGTCGTTCTTGGGCCGACCCATGGCTTTCTGGGCCTTCTTCTGCTCAGACAGTGGGTCGGTGGGGCTCACGGCCTCCTCCTTTGGTGGTATCTGTTTGACGCTCGGTTTTGGGAGGGCCTCGGATTTGGGCTGCACAGCTGGCGCTGCAACAACCTCGTTTCGGACGAGCGGTTTCTCGTTTCGGCCTCTGAGTCGGCCGTCCTTTGACAGCTGGCGCATGTCAAGGGACGAGAGGTTTCTCTTCTCGTAATCTGCTCGGAAGGCCTTGTTTGTGTTCCAGAGGGACATGAAGTTTTCAACCTGAGCAGGTTCGAAAATCGAGAAAACTTTTTTTGTCTGAGTTACGTTTTGAAAAATAGAAATAAAATAAGGTATATTTGGCAAATGTTTATTTATTTATTGGACCTCTGTTTCGGAAAGCTTCTTCAAGGCATCGACTTCCTTGTTGGCCGCCAGAGCTTTGGCCTTCGTCAGGAGGGTTCGGTTTTGGTAAAACGGAGAATTCTGTAAATTTTGAATTGAGAATTATTCAGCGAAAGAAATTTCAATTTTCTTTTAAGTGTCGACGTTAACTAGATTTCTAAAAGGGATCACAAAGCATCGGTGAATTAATAAAAAAAACTCTTTAACAGAGAGAAGCAATTCGGTAAGTACCATGTTATTATCCTAAAATGGATAAAAATAACAATAAATAGATGTATATAAACCAGGAAAAAAATGTAAAATCTACACGAACCAACACACGCAAGGGCTTGGTAACAAATTAAATCATTTATGTATCAT